GTAGCAGCACTTCTGTTCCTACAGCAGGGCAAAAAAAGAACAGTAAATAAGCTTACAGCCCAACCTAAGCATCTGAAAGTTAAGAGATAAAGCCATTCTACGAGGATTTGGAAAACGCATTGGAGAAGAACACCATATCATCTGTTGCCCAAAGAAACTTCAGAGTTACCGTCCGGAGAAGAATGAACGATGCTGAGGTAATAAGTGAAGAAAAAGCGAAGGAAATGAACATAGAATTCGCTCTACAGCCACCTCCACGTTAAAAACACTATTTTTTTTATCAAGCTCCAAAGCGATAACTGCCACGGAGAGGCCCAGAGGGAAAGTATTTGAATTAAATCAACAAGGGGTCTTTCTTGATGGGCAAGAAAAGAATAATATATATGTCAGTTATATGTGTGGGGTCAGACCATGGTTATGATCAGTGTTGCAGAAGAGGAGTGGTTCAAAAGAACCGAAAGATCACGGTTTTGTGCAGAACTACGACTTGACCCGGAGGCTTTCGTAGGGAAGCTGTCATTAATGAACCATGAAACGCGGATTGTGACCACTTTGTTCATGTGATAAAGACAAAAGGCGAAACAGATCAGAAATCCAAGTATCTGATCTCCATCAAAGCTGCAAATGACTGGAAGAGCCCCACTGAAGGCGGAAGTGAATATTAACAACGTGCACACTGCGCTGTGCAGAGTAACTAAAAAGTTGAGCGAAGACTACGAAAGATACAGGAGAATACGACTACAGAAGGAAGAATGATCTGAAGGTTGCAGAACCGAAAATTTACATTAAATTTCAGACTCCGAGTTCGCTAGAAGACGAAGGAGGAGCAAAAGCCACTAATCGCAGTTAGATGAAGCGGTCTGTTCTACAACAGCCTCTACTTCTGAAAAGTAGAAGTAGATTCGGCAATTTTCCCACGTTGCCCCAGAAAACGTTCCAAAATTTGTCTTGAACGGAATTGAGTGGGCATTCAGAAACATTAAAAATGGCAAATGTCCAGGAAAAAAATGATACAATACCAGAACACTTCAAGGAAAGAAAAATAATTCTGTTTAAAGCTGTTGCCAAACGTTTTACGGAATACATCAAGTGGAACAAAACTCCTAAAGTGTGGAAGCGAAGACATTAAGAACAGCTTTTCTCAGGAAGAAAGACGACTCCTAGACCTCAAGAAATACATATCAAGCATGCTCCAGTCCCAACATACCAAGTCTTCACACGCATCATTCTTATCTGAACTCAGCAAAACCTCCAGTTAGTCAAAAACTGAAAAAAGCCTGTTTTCACTGACCATGCACGTGGTTAAGCAACCGACGGCGGCAAAGTGTAGCGAATATCAAACACTAGTTTGTTTTGTTTTGTCGACTATTAGAAGGTAGTAAATACGATTGAATTGATGATTGTTTTAAGCGACCTGCATGACCATTGCACGAACTCGGTATACCTCAGCTTGATCGAAGAGTTCGACAACAGTGGCACTACTGAAATCGAGTTATTCAGCTAACCATGTTGCAGTCATATCCATTGAGGAGTGGTCAACGAAAGACCATCTCAGCAACAATTTTGGTTACGATCTTGGAGTCATTCCTCAACCAGCTAAACTGATTTAACGGTATCAGTCTTGAAGAAGGACAGCTAACGCGCTTGACATTCACGGACGGATATATCTTGCTGTCCTGAGGCATAACGGAGTTCAAACTGAGGATACAGTGGTTATGATAAGAACGTCGCGTTGCCGTACCGGACGTTGGCCTCATCAAAGCATAATGGGAGCGAAACGATCACTGCCTCAATGAGTATCTGTACCTGAAATGCGTCGAATTTAAAGCTGTCAGCTACGCATGGCTCAACCGACAGGTGGACCACACAAATTCGTCATACTAAAAAATTACTGTATTAAAGTATCACTCACTCTCGATAGTGATGCGCCGGTTTAGGGAAGAAATACCTTTAAATTCAACCATCATGCCTGCCATGAATGGCGCTGTCCTTCTGCCATTGCAGGTGAGAAAAAAGCCGAATTTCAGGAAAAGGGCGAAAAATGCGCAAGGTGTCCCTCCGGAACGGCATTCAAAACGAACAATTTCGACAAAGGACTGAGTCAGCAGACCTGATTTCTGCCCCCTATGAAGCCAGAGAAGATGAAAAAGTCATGTGGATCGTCTGAGAGAACGTCGGCTGAATTTAGGAGTTACGCACTATTTTGCGCCGGACCCCAAGCGGTCGTCCAGGATCATGCTGGAACGTTATGTCGATAGTGAAATTCCTTGGCCAGAGCGGACGCAGAGAATTGAAGAAAGAAAACAGTGGACGAACGAACAGCTGAGTTCTTGATTACCCATAATGCGGACATATTGAATAAACAATGACAAAGAATAAAAACGGTTTATTGAGCATAATACAGACCACGTAGATTGCGTTGCTTAGATAAGGCGGCTTCCTGTTGTTTTTCAGCGGAATATACGAGAATAGAATTATATACATTTTCTAGTTATAGTTTGGGATTTGACCGCTGATGTCGAAAAAAAGCCTTTTTACCAAATCGAGAACGACATAGGAATTTTAGATTGATCAAATGGATATCATAACTTCTACTTCGACACGAAACGTGGCCGATTCCAAACCCGCATGGGAAAGGAGAAAGGGGGCTGTGGATAAGTCTTCCGTAGAATTCAACAGCCTTGGTATTGTCGTTAGTGAACGTTGTACAGGATCGTTCTTTCCCCGGGTCACAAAAGATAGCGTAGACAATTGTGGAAATGTAGCAAGACTGTGAAAATCCACTGCACGCCATCTTGCACCAGTAGGGGGGGGGCGTAGCAGCACGACTACAGCTGCTGAGGATCGATAAAATGACAGTGAAAATACCAATCAGCAACGGAGCCGTTACCCACTCTGCACGGAGGAGGCAGACAGCGCGTGTTATTACATCAAGCCAGGTAAGATTCCAGGAAGCGATGCAGAGGGAACTCATGTAAGAAATTACTCCTTTTGTCTGGAGGGAAAGATCAGAGTTTAGGTGATGAAACTGCAAAATGCTGACTAGATATGTTTGAACTATAACCAATGAAGTGCCTGAGATTTCGAATTCTGAATTTCTGTGTGTTGAAGCTGCTTCACTCCGTTGTCAACTCTACCACTGGCGTTCAAGCTGGTGTTAGTTTTCTGGCAGAACCCAACTTCGCTGATAGGATCATTAAATAGAAGCCTGTCAATGGAGTAACAATTATCTAGTTGAAGTTATAGTCGTATAAAGCCATGACCTTGCTAAAGGTTCATGTACCCAATATGGATGAATAATATGAGTTTTTTCTGAATGAAATAGAAATGCTCTGTGCGAAGTGGCCACCACGAAATCCAAGGTGGAAAGAAGGAAACTGTAAGAGTTTTGA